TGTATCTATAGGCTTCTTAAAACTACTTTTTACGTGTTAGGAAATTCAAACAATTTTCATCATTTATTTCTGTGTAGAATTAAAGCAATTTTAATTCGTATGCAAAATTATTGTTGTTTCTTTTACGTGGTCGTAGATTGAATTATTTAGTACTTTAAGAATGCTCCATTTTCCGGACGTTCCTCTGTTGATTTCAAATATTTTGAATTACTCTAATTTGAATTTTCAAAGGCATCTTTGATCAATTTTAAAGTCTTAGCTTTCAGGATTCTGTTCTCGTTTCTTTTTGAATTTTTATAATCTTAGCTAGCTGATTAGCCCACAAGTATGCAACGTGATCTTATAAAATGTTTTATTGTAACAAAAAAATGTGTGTAATAATTAGTTTAAGCTAGCGAGTGGGGATTACAATGAGTTTGGGCGATAGAAAAATAAAACAAAACAAAACGAAGATCATTGGACGGGAACAGGTCCGCGTCGGCGCGTAATCTTCACCAGTCGCCGGCGACGTTGACGTGGCACTGGCGGGCGGTGTGGTGTCCCATCCGGAGGCCGCTCCTCCTGCTGATCCCCCTGCTGATCCCCCAGCTGATTCCCCTGCCGATCCTGATCCCGATCCGTGCCCTGGGCATAGCTGTAGCTAATGGTGCGCTTGTAGATGCGCTGCTCCTGCTCCGACTGCTGTGATTGCTGCGAGCGCGGCTTTCGTTTTTTGAAAGGCGAGGATGAGGAGGATGATGAGGAGGATGAGGCCTTTTTCTTTCTGGTCTTAGCCTTCCTGGCCTCCACATCGTAGCAGCGCTCGATCTTCTGACCCTTGCTGTCCTTGCAAGCGTAACACACGCTATTGTCCCGCTGACGTCGCACGCACAGGCTGCTGGGCGCCACCTGCTCCTCCTTTGCCGTCGCCCTTCCCTTTTCCCTCTCCTTTTCCTCTGCCGGATCGTGGCGGTATCGCTTGTACTGGGTGCCACTGCCAAAGGCATACTGCTCCGGCTGGTCATCATGGGAATAGCTGCATGTCTCCGAAACCTCGTTGTTTTTCAACTGCCGACAGATCTCGCACAGCTGGCCATCCTTGCGCCTGACCCGCCTGCAGCGCTGATCCTTCACATTGCTGGCCTCCGCCTGGGTCTCCTCTTCCAGCTCATCAGCATCATCGTCGTTGTCGTTGTCGTGGTTGTCCTTGTCGGCAGCCCTGTCGAAATACTCCTGGACAAACTGCTCGTAGTTGCGCTCATAGTCCTCGCCGGAATACCCCTCGTGGCTGGTCTCCGCACTCAGGTTATCCACATCGTCGCCCGACGGCTCCACATCCACATCATCGTCCGACGGCTCCACATTCACATCCACATCGTCGTCCGACGGCTCCACATCCACATCATCGTCCGAGGGCTCCACATCCACATCATCGTCCGACGGCTCCACATCCACATCATCGTCTGACGGCTCCACATCCACATCCACATCCTCGTCCGCCTTGGCTTGCGCCTGCGTCTGGACCACGGGCTGCATCATCTCCGGCAGCTTGACTGCCTGCGAGTGATCCACCACATCGGTGGCGGTTAGGGCATCCAGTCGCTGGAGCAGCTTGCCCGGAGCAAAGGCCTCCCAGTAGTTGACACTGCGGTCGTAGCTGTCCGCCAGGGAGACGACCAAGCCGAGTAGCAGCAGCTCCGGCAGCAGCATTGCACTGAAAGCTGCCGCTCCCGTCGTCGCCAGTTGCTTTTATGGATGGCGAGCGGCGACTCCGGCATAGGAGCGTGGCCAATGGAGCGTGTCCGAAGCCACAGAGCCATCAGGAAGTGTGGCTCAACTGATCCATTGATCCGCGAGCGGGGATGTGTGCGAGTGAAAGGCAAGATTTATTTCGTGTGGCCAATCAACTAAATCGAACAAAAGAAAAGGAAAACAGAAGCCAAGCGATTGTTGCTGCTTGTGGAATGATCAGAGTGGGGGATGAGGCGGAGGCGCAGGAGGAGGAGGAGGCGGAGGAGGAGGAGGAGCGGGTGGTGCAGCTTTAACTACGCCGCACGTTGTCCGTCTGTCAGCCGCTGAGCGCCCACAGTGGGCGGGGCTGGTCGAGCAGCGGGCTGCCGCTGGTGACGCAACTCCCGCCGCTTTTCCCGCAGGATCTGCTTGGTCTGGGAGGTGTCCAGCTCCTCCCAGCCACCGGCATTGTCATCCACCCAGTCCTCGAGATCGGCCTGCCAATGGAGATATCCATATATATATATATGGTTGGCCCAGTTGGTACTCACATTGGACTTACATTATCGCTAATGGGCACCAGATCCTGGGCCTGCAGTCTTGAGAAGTCAGTTGGCTGGCTGGCGGACGCACTCGCGGACGGATCCTCCAGGTAGTACTTCATCTGCGGCCTTATGGTTGGCGCCAGCTCCTGTTGGAATGCAATTCAAATTAGAGACCAGTATTTTTAATCTTTTCAAAATATGTTTTCCTTTTGAGTTTTATCTTTTGACTAAGTGTAACCTTTTAAAAAAATCATACATGTTTAGATATATTAAAACTTTTAAACCCGGTTTCTTTTGCAAATATTCATTGGTTTTCGTTACAAAATTATTTTGTTTTTGGGTTCCATCTCTTGACTAGGTTTTATATAGCATTAATCTTTTCAATTATTTTAAAATTGTATGCAGTTTTACATCATTTCTAGAACTTTTTTAAAAGATTTTTGTGATTTTTCAAAGGAGAATTTAATTTAATTTGTTTTTTTCTATGTGATAAATTATATCTAACGATCCACAAATACTTAAAGCATTCTGTTACAAAGAAATTTTAAATGGTTAACAATAAATTAAGTTAAATATGGACTCTGTTAATTTGTAAATATAAGCAAATACGACTATCGCTACAGCTGTTTATAATAAATTATTATTTTACTTTTACATTTAGGATTGTTTTGATTGACAGCTTAATTTATTAAGTATTCGATCAGTGGCTAACTGCGGATAATTAATAGATTTTAGGTTAACAATGAATTGATACAAATTTTATTTTAAAGAAGTAAAAAACTTCAAATTGCAAATATATCCGATTTTTTTAGTTAATTCTGATTTGTGCTTCGATTCAGGTCTTATCATTGCAGCTTAATATTATAGTTGTCAGGAAAAACCATGAAATCATATTATGTAATTTTATAAAAATAATTACTATTTTTGTGATATAAAACCAATTAAATATTTTAACATGTTTATGGGAAATCATCTAATCATATTGTGGCATTTGAAAAAAAATAATTACCCACATAATTTTAAACAATCCATAACCTAGTTTACCTTATTCTTAAAATAAACAAACATCAGTAAACATTAAAAAAAAAAAAAATAAAAAAAAGTTTACTATAAATATGTGTAAGTAGGTAAGTGGCCAAAGTGTGAAGATAAAACGTAATGGAAACTGCGGTGCTATTTGCCTGACCGGCGGTGTAACCGCCGTATTGGATGTGCCAACTCACACTGAAGAAGTCCGGCTCGGGTTCCTCCTTGGGCGGAGTGGGTGGCTGGGCCATCCGCTGGCGGTACTGCTCGATGTGCTCCTCCACGGTGCGCGGACTGTCGTCCCAGGAGTTCCAGTCCCGTTCCCTCGCTCCGGACGTCCTGCCACCCGGACCCGTGGGATTTCCGGCGGAGGAGGCGGCGGCGGCGGCAGCGGCAGCGGCAGAGAACTCTCCCCGCTCCACAATCACATTGACCGCCTGCAGTTGGTCCCCATTTCCCGAGGAGGAGCCGCTGTGGCTCAACTTGCGGCGCCTGGAGAAGCAGCACAAGGCACGCCGGCACAGCGTGATGATGCCCAGCACCAGCATCTTGATTTGCTGCAGCATTGTCACCTCGTTTTGCGGCTTATATTATATTATTTACTAATTGTCGGTTTCGGAGAGGTGGAGAAACATCGGTGCCAATACCGATAGTTTAAAAATATCGAACATATTCATGTTATGCAGGGTTCATCGATGCTTTAAAGCAGTTGATATCGATAGGCAAGTCCGCCCACCCCTAATACAGCTGATATCGACTTATAAGTTTGAAAAATGTTCAAAACGTAAACGCTGTTATCGTTTCCACTCCAGTTCGTAAGCACTTTTTCGTTTCCATTCCATTTTTAGTACACACTGAGTCACTAAAATGTCAACCAACAGTTTATTTTCAGTAGCGAAATAATAATAAATATATTTTAATTAATTATTCATTTTTCATACTGTGCAATCTTAGCAATTTTCAAAAAATTTATTTTCGCTAGCGACATATTGGCATTACCACAGTACTTGTAAATAATATATAAAATTTATTTGTTATTTTTTGATACTTTGCCATTTTTGTAAAGTAAAGTTCTTTGAATTTCCACAGACTTATTTCTGATCACCCTATTTGCAAGTGTTAGGACATTTTGTCATATATGTATTACCCGAATATTAAAATCCACAATTTCAATTAAAATAATTAAAAAATACTATCACTTAGGTAATGTTATGGGCCGACTCTTGCAGTGATTTAAAACCAAACCACTTTTTTCTATTGTACAATACCATAACTTCAGTAAAAAATAATTTATTTGTAAGATTTAATTATTTTAATCAGGCATAGAAAACTGGATGTTTCATTTGTCATCCGTTTTTTAAAAATTTTATAAAATTAAATAAAATATCACAAAACACCCAGCGGAATACATTATTTCTTGGCATTACAAACTTTGAATTATTTTTTAAGAAAAAAAAATATAAACAAAATTGTATCTTCACTAATTTTCAATTTTTGTTTGTAATTCTTTTGGACATATATATAGTTTAATAATTTTAAATTTTATCTAAATCGGAAAATAATATCATATAGCCCTAGGAACCATCGAATAATTGGGGTGAAAATCATTTTAGCTTTAATGGGTTTTAATGGGTACTCATATAATTCGAAATTCATATGTTTTAAAAATTTTGTTTTTATTTTTGCAATAACTGCAAGGGTGTATAAACTTCGGCTTGCCGAAGTTTGCTTCCTTTCTTGTTTTATATTCATGCTTAACAACAACAAAATAACAATGTTTTTTAATGGCTTATTGCGCTGCGTCCTTGGTTCTTCAGCTCGTCGTGATCAACGTTGTTGCGTTCGATCTTGTTGCGCCTCCGGAACTTTACGATGAGCACTTCGATGACCCAGGGAACGGCGCACAGGATCATGAAGCCGTTGAGGATATGGAAGACCAGAATATAGTCCTTGGTCTTGTCACGGATTATTCCGACAATGGGGCCAATTAGAAACATGGCATTGCCTTGGGTGAACATGAATAGGCCATAGCCTGTAGCGAACCTGAATAATAAAGGGGGAAAATGAACACAAATTTAAACATTCAATGGAGCTTTTTAGTTAATAAAACTTACCTCTCCTTGGGCAAGTAGTCGGCAAAGACCAGAGGCAGTGGGACATGGAGCCAGGTGCGAAGGAATCCAATCACAGCCGTAATGCAGGCCATTCCCATAAACTCTGTGATCCCATTAAAAACTGTCGTGAAATTTTGAGAATTCAAAGGAATTAGTTAAGAAATTCGTTGACCATGAGATGTTCTTACCAAATCTTGCAAAAACTGTGAGCACTGCTCCTGCCAAATAAATGTATCGCGAGGGAACTTGGATGCACACGGCGGTGATGGCCAGGAAAATTCGGGAAGTCAAGTCGGCGGCTGCTCCAATTGCTATAATAGTGGCCGTATCCGGCTGAAAAATAGATGTTAAGCAAATAACACTTTTAAGCAACCAAAAAAAGGGTTTGACTATAACATTAATAATACAATTTCTGAGCCAGAAAATATAAGTCATTTTCAAATTTTGGTATTAAGTTACTGTCAGCCCCGAGATGTTACAAAAATATTTTAATAATTTTTAGTTATATGCAAAACAAAAATTGTAATTGGTTAAAATATAATAAAAATGAGGATCAAAGATATAAAAAAAAATTTTTAATGCAATCGGAAAAGAAATGGCAACCCTTGTTGTATTTCCTTTTTAAAGGCTACTTCTTTTGCCGCAAAATATTAAAAAGTGGAGTGCTAAATAAAAGACAAATTATTACTGAGTACTATTATTTAAATGCAGGTTGAGAATAAAATGTGTCTTGTGATTGCGCTTAGTGTTTTTAGATAGAAAATAATGTTGTGCATCTTATTGTTAAATATTCTTCCAAAATAAAAATTTCACAACTTCTTTTTCAGAATTTTAGAATAAAAATTTGAAAAAAAAAAATCCGATCAGCCGTTCTTAATTGATGAGTGATAATACATTCGATGAGCAACCACGTCAGCGTTCTGAACAGAAGAACTTAAATTTGAAATATATTAATAATTGTATAATTTTTGAACCTTAATAACCGGCAAAAGGATTCAATAGTTTTTCCAAACCATATTTACCAGTTTTATTTTCACAAACAAATGTCACTACTACTTTTAATAATTAAATAAGAAGGATGTAGTTTACTCTTTTCTTCCAATAGCTCCGCTAAAAAAAACCCTTAAATTGTTGAGCAAAAAATATTTAAAATCCAAAATGTTGCACTTAAACTTATGGTAAAATAATGTTGAAAAAAATCCATTTGTCTGTTATTAGGGTTAAGCAATTATGAAAATTGTAATTTTTCCACTTTGAGGTTTTTAGTTTAAGCACTTTAAAATTTATTATTAACTTATTTCTTTCATTGGTGTAAATTCTTGTTAATGAAATGGATTTTATTGGTTTCTTTTTATATAGCTCACCTTGCTGTAGCCCAGTTCGAAGAGGTAAACCGGCTGCATGGTGAAGAACGTTATGTCCGAGTAGAGGGCGAAGGTGATGCCCAGCACGATGTTCACGTAGATGGGCTTCTTGAGCAGCGTGAGATCGAGGAAATCGACGACAGTGCGCACCCAGCCCTTCTTGATTGGATCCCCATCCTGGGCTACGGATCCTTCGCCAGCGGCACCACCACCACCACCACCAACGACCATGCTCTGTCGACGGGAAGCCTGGAGGCTGTGCATCATCTGGGGAGAGGCATCGCTGACCACCACATGTCCGGACCAGTTGCCCAGGCTGGTGATGCTCGAGGCACGGCTGGAGTGCACGTGCAGCAGGTGCTCCTCGGCGTGGGAGAGGCGCCGCGCAACGGGATCTGCATCGAAACTTGGCGCATCCTTGACGGCCTTCACAGGGGTTTCGGGCTGCACCCTTACCACCACCACTGATGGTTTCACTGGCTGCTCCGGCTTCTCCGGCTTCTCCGGCTGCTCCGACTTCTCCGGCTGCTTCGGCAGCTCCAGTAGCTTGAGCGCCTCCTCATCCGGAGTGATGGGCACGCGACGCATGTGCCACTCGACGGGATGCATCACCAGCATGCCCAGTATCGCATGGGCATTCAGACCCGTGAGGATGAGCAGGCAGCCCCGGAAGCCATACCACTGCATCAGTTTCTGCATGACAATCGGATAGAGCATCGCACCCAGACCGATCAGGGTTTGGGCAAAGCTCATCCACATCACCCGGTTCTTCACGAAGTAATGATTGAAGGTCGTGTAGCAGGTGGGCACAATCAGCCCGAAGGCCAATCCCTGGATTAGGCTGAAGGCCAGCAGCAGGTGCAGCGTGGATGTGGCGAACAGTTGCATGCCGGTGCCCAGGAAGTACAGTATGCCCCCCGTAACGCCCACCTGTCGCATACCGAAGCGCTGGAACAGCGATCCGGAGAACAGGCCGGCGAAGCTCATCGACGAGAAAAAGGCGCTGGTGATGATGGCCATGGCACTCGTCTCCGCCCCGATGCTCTTGAGGAAGTCCCCGAAAACGAGGCCAAACGATGGCAAGGCGGCCAGAGCACTTGTCTGTGAAAAATAAAAGTCAGGTGAGTCCATCTTATCTGAGGCCATATTCCTGGCTATATATTATATAATATTATATTACTCGAGGTCACATATCTTTTGGGCTAAATGTTTTGAATCATAAATGCTCATAAAGTTAGCAAATATATATTTGAGGGGATCAACTTTTAAGATATGCAGTCATTTATTTGATATATATTTTAAAACAACAACTAAACTTTTTCACCGCTAAATTAGGATTTCCTTAAAAAATATTTAAGAGTTAAAAAAAAAACAGGGTATGAACCATATATATTAATTAAGTTAGCAAATAGTTTTGGGTGAACAAATGTTAAGATAGGCACAATTTTTTGTTTATTTTTGAGATTTTGACTACAAAAAAATTACATTTTAAAACACCAATTTAAAAATTGTTCACGCATTGATAACTTGTTAATACCGCCAAATTCTAAGAAAAAAATATTTAAAAAAGAAACGATATTTTTTAAACGAAAGTGAGCCTATTTTATCTAAGATGCTATTCTTGAGTATTATAATATAATATATATCACTAAAGACTTTGTGCTGCATATATTTGGGTAACATATCCTTACCGTAAGATATGAATCATAAATTTAAATAAAGTTGGCAAACAATTTTGGGGAAGACTGTTATATGCAAAATTGGGCGTAATTAATTTGCTAGTTCTTTGTCAAATATATTTTTTTTGGCTTTTAACTTCGAAAATGTCATACTTTTTAAAATTGCTACTATATTTTTTTCACGCATAAATAAGGAATACCTAAGTATTAAAAGTTTCTTTAACAAAAATATTTTTAAATTTAATTTAGAAAGTTGTATTTGTTAGCCATAAATATACATATAATTAGCATATAGTTTTAATATGTGAACAATCGTTTATACTTTGAGAAAAAATTTATTTAGGCAATTTATTAAAAAAAAGTATTACACATTGTAAAAAAACAAAGAAATTTTTTTGGTCCACGGATAAATTACGGAGAAATACCGGTAAATTCCGCATATCACATATTTTAAAGTTTAAAACATGCTATACAAAAAGAGCAAATAAAATAATAATTACATATTTAAAAACGATATCATATTTAAATAGCAACAAATTGTTTATTTGTAAAATATGTTGTACTCTCGAAACTATTTTATTGACTGCGTGCACAAGATTTATAAGACAGGACACCTCACATAAATAGTGTTTTTATGTAAAATTTGAACTTGTTATTTAACGTATGGTTTCATTGTTTTGTTTTGTTTTTTTTTTGTAACTGCACTTATATTTGCAACTTGAAAAAAAATTCGATCGTTATTGGCACTACTTGTCCCGTGTTCACAAAAAAAAAAGAAAGAAATCAGGGCTGATTCCACTTACGAAGGGCAGGGCCATGCCGATGCAAACGAGGATTCCCCAGCCGCCATCGGGGGCCTCCAGGTTGTAGGCTTTGGACTTCTTCATCTCGAATCAGCAAAGTTGCTCCGCGGGCTGCTGGGCGGCAAGTGATGGCTCGGTCGTCAACCAGATATCTGAGGCATCCGCCCATCCGTGTACATATATCAATCCCATCGTATAAGTCGGCGCATCCAGTAGCCAGTAGCACCTCGATTACCATCCGCTTATCGCACCTCGGGTCTTTATGACCAAGCTAAGCTTCTTATGACGAAGGTTTATAACACGGCTTTACCGATAAGATTACTGAGTACTCAGTACTCAGTACTCAGCGTTGTCTTGACTGCTGCCCCCCGTGTTTTTCCGAGCATTTCCGTAACCTTCCACGCCTCCACTCGCACCGTCCCAGTTCCAGTTCCAGTTGTAATTGTAATATTACGATTACATTGGCAAATAACGGAAACATGTTTGAGCAGCATTTTGGGTTTTTATCAACCTCCTCCCATATCGGAAACAAGTTGGCCTGATAAGAGGTTCCAAAACTAATGGTTTGGACAGGTTTGTGTCACTAGATTTACACCAGTGGCCCTCAAAGAGATTTCTTGCGCCTAATTTATACAAAATTAAATTTATTCTTCACGCATTACATTTGTTTGCCCCCGGACGCATGAGCTTTGCTCGACTACATCCTATAAATGACTTCTAAACTGGCTTGTTTGCTCTTGGGTGATAATGATGCTAGAGTGTATCTTAGCCGGATCTCTAGGTTCATATCTGATGACATTATGTGAAAAGAATTTACCAGGGAGCCTTGTTTCTTCGTATCATTCGGATATTAAAAATAACAATTTTTTTTTTTTTAAGAATATTGATAATTGATCACCATTTGATGTAGGCAACAAAATAAATAAATGAAAAAAATAAATGTTGATGAAATTAAGAAAATATATTTTTTTAAATATCCAAAATATTTTCTTAATTCTTCTTACACATAGGAAAAAAATATAAAAATAAAAAAAAAAATTTTAACTAAATAAAATTTAAAAATAATCATAGGCATTACATTAATAATAATAATATTAATAGTTACTCGTAACCTTGCAAATATTGTTACGTGTGCCATTAATAAGTCCACATTAATTTAATTTAATTGAATTTTTTAGCAATTTGAAATGTCTATAATTACTTGGGTTTTAGATTTTTTTTTCGGTTGCAGCATTTATAAAAATTCAAACCATGCGTTTGCATTCATAATTTTTTTTTACTTCTTTGATAAAATTTAGAAGCAAGGCCGACTATTGCCTGTCCCACTTTCTTATCTGTTCTATCTCAAGATCAGTTCCAGGATATATCTCTCTCTAACAAATAAATGCTTGTTATTGCTCTGTATTTCATCAATTTATTTCCAATTTAATATACACAAATTTATATACTGATACAATATATATTAATTTATAGGGCTACAATATCGCGCAATACATTTCCAAAACTTTGCTTCATACGCATGTATCAAAATCGCTGTTTACTATTTACTAATCCGACAAAAAGTATATACTCCACAATAAATGTAAGTACCCAAATATGCTTATCGTAATAGTTTTTGTATATAGTATGTATATCCGAATGTCGTCATCTTTTCCAGTGTAGCAATTCTCAGCGAGCCCAAAAGTTTGCTACATTGAGTTTACTTGGTCAATTGCACCACAATTCGCGTGGTTTGTTTGCGTTTTATTGCTTATCGGTTGGGCTTAGTTGCATTTTGGTTAAATTACCTAAAAGATCTAACAATATATTATGATTTTGGGACACGTAAAAGGCTTTATTATCGATTTTGATCAGTTAAAACGCCGCTGCAAGGAACCTTCAATTGTGTATAAATATATATTGTGGCATTTGGTTGGCTAGGATCAGAACGAGCGCTTTAAAAATATTACCTCTGGCGCGCTTTTCAATTCATTTGTCCATCTTATCTAATTCGATCGCTCTTGTTTCTTCAGTTTCTTCAGTTCAATTAACGCACTTGGCTTTACACGAACGTTCTCTCTAAATTACACATAAGATAAATGATATACATATAGTGTTTTTTATTTATGTTTGTATAGTTTAGTTGTTTTGTCGTTGCTCAACATCGCTCTCAAGGTACATTTTAAAGCCGATCAATTTTCAACATTCCCTTCATACTTTCTTGTCGCATCGTTATATTGCAGATGCAGATGCAGATATCATTATTTCTATATGTATAGATTAACTTCTAAATTAAAAACTATCTTTGAACTATCACATACAAGTTCACTAATAAACAAAAAGAGAGAGAACAAATCAAGGCAAATCATAAAATGAAGAGAACGCCGGAAATTGGTAACTTAAATGAATGAATTTCGGATTTTCCTTTTTCTCCTTTAACATTAAAATGTAAACGCACTTTTTTGTGGTTTTTGTGGGGCTCTAGTTGTTTGTTTATCCCCTTGGGTTGGTTACAGTTGAGAAATGAGTTCCATATAACTAAAACTGACAAATCCTGCCTATATATATATATAGTTATATGTGTGGTATGTGGAGTGTGTATGATTATGTCTCTCCAAGATCTTAAGACTCACTAAACATATTGCAAAAAAAAAACGAGCGCAAACGAAATAAATGACTTAACTAAGTTGAGTTTTAATACATTTTTGGGGATTAGGGCCACACACTACACTAGAGTGTTAAACGAAGTGGGAACCAATGGGTTTCCCATCTAAAATTATACCCTTGCATTGTGCAGGGACCCTCTTAAGTATATTTAAAGTGGGGTACTCGCTGGAGGAAATCAATCCTCCGTCCCGCGGCGAGACTGTCTTCCTTAAAGTAGATCTCTCTAGTCCATCCCATGTCCATCTCATGCTGTCGCCGAACCTCTTCAGATCTACAGCTTCACATCGTGCTGTCCCGTCGTCGTCGTCGTCTGCGTCATCGTGGTGGCACCTCCGTCCTGGGTTGGCAACTGGGCGGCATCGGCGGTGCGACGTCTCGAGTGGATGTACTCCACCAGGTACTCAATGCCCCAGGCACAGGCGCAAATCATGATGCAAACGCTCTGGGTGTGTATGCAAATGGGGTAGCTATCTGTCACATCCCGAATGAGACCTACAATTGACAAATATCCATGTTGAGTAAATAGGTTGGGAGTCAGTATATATGTGGATGGTCCTTACCAATTAGAGGTCCAAAAGTGATGACGAACAGGGCCTTGCCCACCAGATGCCAGCCGAATGCCGAGGGCAGTTTTTCCAGTGAGCAGTATTCGGATACGGTTAGCGTAAAGTTACTCAGGGCGGATCCTCGGAAGAAGCCGCAGATCGAGAGCCACACCATCAACTGCGTCCAGTCCCTCTGCTCAGCCATAACTAAAATAGCCAAGATATGGTTGTTAGTTATTAAAAATAACCGTAATATTCCTAAAATCTAACTTTATAGAGTAAACCTCTATTTTTCTTCGCTGTGTTTTTTAAGAATTTTAACGAATATAGTAATGGTTCATTACTTCAGAACAACGGTTTTAATTATATTAAAATCGGACAACGTTATATTTGGAATGATCAAATGTTGTAAAAAAGTTATTTAATATATAATATAAGGAAAAAGTTATGTGGGAAAGACTCGACTTAACGAACAATATAAAAACAATTAAAAGTTGTTTTTTAGTAAATCTTTAATATATCGCTGTTTTTTTTTAAGTTTTGAGTTAATTTGGGTATTTGAAATTATTTAAGGATTGAAAACCAATCGAAATTATTATAAGTATAAGGAAAAAGTTTTGTGGACAATGCTCCACTCATAGAATATTCCTTCAAAGAAAAAACCCGTAAAGTATGATGATAAAAAATAGGTAAGCTATTAAAAGTGTAAGTCTTTCAAATATAACTGTGTTTCAAAAAATTAAGGATATTTTACTTCTCTTCATCCTAAGCGTATGTTGGGATTTAAAATCATTTTATATTTGAAATCTATTAAAAAATGAAATGATTGATCGACTACAGCTACTCAATTGCTATGTGATTGTTAGTAATTAAACATAGAAATAAACAGTAATGTGGAGAATGCGCCACTTAAAGTATATAACTTGAAAGAAAAAACGTCGTTAAATAAGTAAAAAGTTAAGTAAAAAAAAAGGATACAAATTTAAAATGTCAACAGAGTTAGTTTACTTCTCTTATTCCTAGGCGTATGTTGGAATTTGAAGTAATTTTGAAAATTTAAATCTAAATGATTGATCGACTACAGCTACTCACTTGCTATGTGATTGTTAGTTATTAAATATACTAATAAACAGTATTGTAGAGAATGCGGCACTTACAGTAAATTCGTTAAATGAAAAAAACTCCGTAAAATAAGTAAAAAGTAAATTTAAAAAAAGGATATTAATTCAAAATGTCAATAGAGTTCGTCTCTAATATATGGCTGTGTTTCTAAGATATTAAAGATATAATATAAGATTTAAAATATCGCTGTTTTTAAAGATTTAAGTTAGTTTCTTTCTCTTCGTCTTAGGCGTATGTTGCAATTTGAAGTTATTTTTAAAATTTAAATCTAATGTTAAAATATGTTGCAATTTGATGTTATTTTTAAAATTCAAATCTAAATGGAAATGAAATGAACGACGATCGACGGTAGGCACTCACTTGAACGGGTCAGGGCCACAAAGATGATGGAGACGAGGAAAATGGTGCGCTTCTTGATCGTGGTGCGATCGAATATCGGTGGCAGCACTATCCTGGCGGCGATGTCCGTAATGGCGGTGACCGAGAGGCAGAAGGCGACATCGGCCTTCTTGTAGCCCAGGTTGGCAAAGAAGAACGGTGTGACCATCTTGAAGTTCATCTCGGCCACGTAGAAGATGGAGAGACCGAAGAGGAGGTTGAGGAACATCTTGTCCTTGAGCATATCGATGTCCAGCAGGTCGGCGAAACGTCGCCAGAAGCCCGGCTTCTTGGCCTTCTTCTTGGCCTCCTCGTCGAGGGCGGCCGCCGCCTCGGCCTGCTTGTCCAGCTCGGTGGGCTTCATCTTGATGAAGCTGTCGCGATGACCGCCGAGGACAATGCTGCCCGTGGCGGTGCCAACACGTCGCAGTTCGCGATCGTTCTGCTCGAACTCATCGTCGCCGGTGTTGAGGTGCACCTGGAGAATGGAGCCGGTGAAGTCCATGTAGGAGAGGTTCGAGGTGACCGAGGCCTTGCGGCAGCGCAGCTGCGTGGCATTGACCTCCGCCTGCGACGTATAGCCGCCCGAATCCCCGCCAGCGCCATGGACGGCCGACTGCACCCCGGCCAGCGACATGATGCGCGGAAAAGTGGGCCTCTTGGGCAAACCCAGTCGGTTGCCATTCATCGTGTTCATGGCCATCTCCGAGTAGTTCTTGCGCATCGAGTGCTGATGCGGATGGTGCTTGTGGAACAGCAGCGTGTTCATCTCGGGCAGGGCGTCCTCCTCGTTGCCATCCTCCTTGATCACCTTGAAATCGGGCGCTGCTCCAGCTCCAGCTGCAGCACCAACTGATGCCGCCGCTGCGCCACCTGCTCCGCCACCGCCGCCGCCGCCGCCACCGCCGCCGCCTAACGTCAGCTGGGGCTGCGGGGTGGGCAGGGCCGAGATGCACATCAGCTCCTCGTCGTCGAACTCCTCCTTCATGTGCCACTTCACCGGCTGCAGCAGCACCGATCCGACCGTGGCATTGAGGGCCACGCCCGCCAGCAGCAGCACCGCGCCCCGGAAGTCGTAGGCCTCCAGCAGGATCCGCACCAGCTGCGGCATGATCAGCATGCCCATGGCCGTCCCGGCCATCGACAGACCCACCGCCTGGCCGCGCTTATGCTTGAAGTAGTGATTGAGGGCCACGAACGCCGCCGAAGTGGATAGGCCCACGCCGATGCCGTTGATCACGGAGTAGGTGCTCAGGATGTGGGCCATGCTCGTCGCCGGCGATGTGAGCGCCAGTCCCAGGCCGCACAGCAGTGATCCGGCAATGGCCACCTTGCGGTAGGAGAACTCCTTCAGCAGCGGCCCCACAAACAGTCCGGAGAAGTTCATGCACACGTCCAGCGCACTGATGATCACCGCTGCCCCCGTGGTGCCCACATTGAGATCCTTGAGGGTGTCCCCGAAGAGCAGGCCAAACGATGGTTCAATGGAGCGGGTGGCCAGCTATAAGATAAGATATATAAGAGATTTTTACATGAGTCCTGATTTGGGTTACAGCTATAAGCAATACTAATAGGAATACTAATAGGATAATGGTCTAAAATCACGCTTGGTTTAAATTCTAGCCAGTTTTGTTTTTTTTTATAACAACATTACTGCATGTACCCAAACAGCATAGGCATATTAAAAATTGGGTTGCTTTATTTCTTGTTTTTTTTTTTGATACTTTGTGAATGTTTTTAATTTAATTTAATTTATGGAAATAAGTTCAATATTAAAAAAAGGTTCGCTATCCACTGGATCAATTGTTTTGCTGTTTTCCTAAATAACTGGCTTGAAATTTCAGATTATGTTCTGCATAGCTACCATTAACCAATAGTTAAATAATTATTGGCTTTATTGACTGGGGTATACGAATATTAGGTAGCATAGACACCATTCTAAGATAGCAAAAAAAAAAAGGGACTTCTATTCGAATTAATTGTATTCCTGTGTTACTAAATAGGAATTTCTTAAAATGTTGGACCATTTTACTTGTAAGGAATTCGCGGCAGCTCATAAATCAAATTATCGACAGAATTAGTTATTATTCTTCCACCCTGCGATCGGCCGCAACTCAATCGAGCTTCGATTACTGATCGTTCAGCGCCCCATAAATTATACACTGGCTATGCGAACATTGTATTACTTTTATTCTATTTGTATTTTTATGTGGGCCAATTTGTGCGAGCTAATCTGCCGTTCAGAGGCCGCGTGATTTATCGTCTCCGAGGGCAGAACTCGCAAAGAATTACGTAGAGGGGGAGGGGGAGGGGAAGGGGGTGCCGGGCCATAACCATTCCATTATCAGCAAACCAACATTGGGGAACGGCATTTTTTAGGGATTGCAAAAGGGGAAAGGGGAAATGGGAAGGGGGAAGGGGGGAAAGCGGCCAGAATAAGTGACACAAAACATAACGTCATCATACGGATAACAATATCGCAGAAAAAAAGCTTATCGGTTTTCAGTGGAAAACCAAAAAACAAAACACAAACCGAAGTTTATATACCCTTACAGATTTAACGAAAATGTCCTCAATTTCTATGCGTATATATTATGTTTCAATGAAGTTATGTCGATTTTCCGAAACATTTTTCGATCTTTTCAACAGTAGCTATATGTTATAGTCGTTCATTTTTTTTAAATTAAACTTTTTTTTTTAATAATAAAAATTAAATTCCCCAGATTTCTATTCATTTACCAATCTTTACTATAGCAGCTTTATGATCTAGCTGTACGAATTTTATTAATTTAAAATTGATTTTTTTAACAAAAAAGATATGTTGATTTTCCTCTTGTTTTCATATTTGCTTTCTGATCTTCCCTATTACAGCTATACATAATAGTCGTCTGAAATGTATTTAATTAAGCTGGTGTTTCTAGAATCGTAAAGCACGACTATATCTCGGAGTAAGTAAATGTATGCTTAAAAACAACAAACAAAACAATTAGCGACTGTTTCTGTGGCAGCTGCTATATGAATCTTTAGTAGAAACAGATGGATAGATCCACTCGACTGTTGAAGCTGCTTAAGGAATATATAATATACGTACTATAGGCTCTGGCTAAAATTGTAATACCCACTCTGGTAGGGTTATGAGAACTATTTGGTGCGGGCAAGTGGGCAAACCCGATGTCAGCACTACGCCCCTATCGATGCACTTCAGATGGTCAGATCCTCAGGCCCCTGCTTCATCTTATCGGTTGTGCAATAATTGCGATGGTCACCATCTCAATGGGTTTTGCCCTTATCACAATCACAACGCCAGGGACTTAAAATCTGACGGACGAGCGACAAAGTGACTGCCTGACTGACTGACTGACGACTGACTGAGCAGCTTTCGTTTACTTCCATTCATGATCGATTTGATTGATGGATTTTTCCTATTTCTTTCTTTGTACGATTCCTTCTTTCAGACCTTGTGGATCCATATCTATTGATGGTGCCTGTCAAGACTCGAAATTCGAGCATGTCCAATTTGTATTCGTTAAATGGCTTGGCCTATAAAGTGGACGGGCATGAATTCGCTATTAGATTATACAGTTGGTGGGCTGGCATTAAAATTCAGTTTGTTCGTACTCATTTTAGAGGCCAACTTAGCAAATTAATGGTGTGGGAAATATGGGTAAAAGGAAAATTCGAATTTTTTGTTTATAATACATTTTTATTTTGCTATCTCTCTGAGTGATATATTCGCCTTATCTATTTTCTTCTTGTAACCGAAGTTTTAAGAATTCAATTACCCTGATTTAATTGCTTACATTATAATAAATAAAACTATCGGGCGACACTTAAGGCAATGTAGTTACGTGACATCTTAAATGACTAAATAAAATTTGATGGAAAATGATTGTAATTATTTTTAGATGTTGTGAAACTTTTAACGAGATTACTATTTTATAACTCATGCCATAAAGATTTGAGTTTTAACTAATTGCGCTTTCCTGAAGGGACGTCTTACGTGGCTACTTAAAATCTACTTCCAGCATTGAACGATTTAAACCTTCTGGATTGATGGGCTTTCTAAAGTGTTTTATTTGTTTGCGGTTGGGCTGCGATTATTATTGATTGCGCTTTGGTGCTTATTGATTTTCGAATTTCTGAATTACGGCGCCCGTCCGAGCCACGGTTTTATTATGTGCTTTTATGGGGCGTTTCAGTAAAAGCTTTAATTGCTTGATAATTGAACTATCAGAACTCATAATTGAAGGAGAAAAAACATTTGAAGGAAACAACACGCGCTCACTAGGTGTGCCCAAATATGTTTAAAATAGTTCAATCATTTGCGATATTGATTGCGGGGGCGAAGTCGAAATTACTCTGGTTTGGCACAATTGGGGTTCAATAAATATTTTTAAGTTCCCACACTTTGATTTTAAAATCTATCAATAACAATTGACTGATCAAGTCGGGCAGGCTGAAAAATAGAAAACTTGAATTTGCTTTTGGCAAGGAAAAAAGTTTTCAGAACTAAAAGGTATTTCAAAGAATTCGCATAGTCATTGTATCGCCAAACAATGACTTTTGTCGCTGCAAAGCAAATCAATTAAGTTATTTATTTTTTAACGCTTTAACGAAATTCCGAAAATTTTTTAGAACTGCTCAAATAGTGAATGCTATAGACCCGTATAATAATTGTTTATACAAAGCCATGATCGATCTCATATATAAAATTTGTTAATTTACAACAATAGTTCGATCTGGATATACATTTCCAGTTCCGCTATAGCAAGGAAATCTCAATCAACGCTTGTTATTCGATTCAACAATTTTTCAAGAAAACCAAAAACTAATCCGACCTGTTTTCTTTATAAATTTGCACATTTTCAGCGCTGTCGACGGAAGAGGAGGGTTTGGTTTTTATTGTAATGTGTAAATAAATATTTTGGAAGCTTATTGCCTGTTGTTGGGTATTGTTTATTAGCTTTTGCCATATTCTATATATATAAATTATACACATGTTTTCTTTTGTTTGGCTTAAACTGGCTGTTGTGCTCGACAATTTTAGCGAAAAACAGCCAAAGTCAAACAGCAAACCCGTTAACAACCAAGTCGGGAACAAACTGCTGATCCGTTTTATTTGGGTTTCGATATTGCCCCAAATCAGCTTATTGATTTATGCGCTCCTGGGTATAATTTAATTGTGGTCAGTAGAGGGGCTTAGATGCGAAATTTGCACGATTAGCTGCTAACTTATTTTTAAACATTTCGTGCAATATTTTCGAATCTAATTTACAAGTAGATGCCCCTTTGCCGTTTACTGCGTGAAATTAACGTGACACTTGAGTGTTCGCAACGAAAGTCGTTTTATATACATGTATTATATATATATATATATACATGTATGCTGATATAAATACGTACATAGAGTATAGAAATATTTTCGTATCGTTGCGGTTCCCTTTATAGACAATATTACTTAACAATTCGCTCTAGCGCCCTTCACGCGGCTAACACGTTGTCATAGTGCAGTCGATTGGCTTTGAAGGGTTTATGGGGTTGAAATATTTGTTTTTTATGTCAGAAAATAACTCTTTAAAGGGGATAAATTAGCAAAAACTCATGATGTGATTTATGGTCTTTAAAGTAGCTTTTCTTCGATTTTAAACAATCTATACATATGTATGTCAAACGACTACGTACTCATAAATAATTCTTCCAAATCGGAAGCAGTGCATTTAATATTTCATTTATTACTCAATTTCAATGTTTAAAAATGCTATAATTTTGTTCACTAGTTGATGTTATTTTCATAAGCTTTATTGTTTGGACAAGCTCATATTGCAAATTTCATAAATCTTTGATTTAATTGTTCTACTTCTGGCTGAATTATTTGCTTTATTAAGTTTAATTTATGAATTTAAAAAACATAGTTATAAAGTGATGTTTTTAAAAAAACTAATTTTTAGAAAATTGCCAAATATCAATGACACGCAATATAAATGATTTCGTCAATAAACTCAACGTTGATTATGTGAAACAATCCATAAATGGATATTTGATCTCCCTTCGTGTAAGTCGAAAGGTTGTTATTAACTTCTGTTTATTGATAATCTATTTTTGCTCAGCTTAAACTATTTCACAATGTGAAAATAGAGCACGCCTGGGTCTCGGGATACGAAAAGGTACACTGTCTATCCGGAAAGATATTAAATGGGGCATTTGGAACCCACTTGGCAGCTCGTGTGTGTGTTACTACTGGTTTCGAATTCACTTTTGGCGTGTTATCAATTTTCAAGTCCAAAGTTCGTGAGGTCGTGAATTGTGGGGGATGGATGTAGATATAACCCATATTATGCCATCATAATATGTCACCCCCATGTCAACGATGATGACGTTGTTGTCCAGCAGACGTCATTTGAGTCCAATCCACGTCTTCATCCCCTTTTTGAGGAAGCTCTTGACCGCCGTCGTAAATCAAGTCCATTCATCCTATCGATTTCCCATTAAGTTTTGCGTGGC